TTCCCTAGCCAGCATGGCTGGCTGGGGAATTCTGGGAGTTAAAGTCCACACATCTTAACGTCGCCAAGGTTGAGAAACACTGATCTAGTGATTTGCACAATCATGGAAGAGTCTAGCTCTTTCCTCTCTGGGGCTATTTGTGCTTTGGTGTCTTCCCATGTAGTTCTTTATTTCATATTGTTTTAACTTGAAAGGTGCCCAAACCTTTGGTGGGAGAGGAGGAGGAGACACAGCCTAGAGCCGCCAAAGAGAGCCCTAGTCAGACGTGGTCAGCCCAATAAGGTAGACCACACTAAGAAACAAACACTGAGTAGACCTAAAGCTTCGTTTATTAGAATAACTATAGAAACAGGGTCTTGCAAGTCTGAACGTGCTTCCCTTCCACCTGCATTTATTTTCATATGAATTAAGGGGGACCTGTCTCAGTCGTTTTTGTAAATCACTTTCTTGATCCAGGCTCAAGCCTCATTTATCAGACTGTTGCCTTGATAGTGGATCTTCCCTCTGTCCTTCAAGGCCATCCTCTATATTCACTACAGACTCTCCCCTTCCTGTAATGCAGTGATTCTCAGCCTTGGCAACTAAGATACTGTATGTGGACTTCATTTCCTAGAGTTCCACATTCTGGGAGTTGAAGTCCACATATCTTAAAGTTGCCAAGGTTGAGAAACACTGCTGAATTTGGGGTGGGGGTGGGGGTGTTTTCCTCGCTGGCTGGTGACTGGCTAAAAAAAGGCAGGAGCAACAGAAAGCCCATCATTTTGCTTATATGACTGGCCCACTCAGAAATCAGGACAACGCCATTGGGCAATGACTCTGAACAGACCCAGCATAGATGGGATAGGAACGGGCAATGGAGTCAATGAAGGTGAGGCTGATGTTGGTTTGTCTAACCCTAGATAGGTGCACTCAGCCATGGGAAAAGACCCATAGGGTCAGTTTGCATGGTGGTTATATCAAGAATTGCATTTTCTGGACTTGAGGATGGATAGAAGGAGGAGGAGGAGGAGGTCTTCAGAGGAGACACCCATCCCTAGTTTGCAGCAGAGGATTGTGGATATGTGTAGCTTCTCAACATGTGAATAATAATAATAATAATAATAATAATAATAATAATAATAGACAAAGGGAGAAGGGAGAAGATTCTCTCACAGTATGGTTAAAGTACTGGGAGTGGTTTTGTTTATAACCTAATTTGCCAGCCCACTTTCCTTTTTTATTCCTTATTAAATTTGAGATTATATCATTTTATTTAATTTGTTGTACGTATGTAGTTTTTGTTAATTCGTTCAGAAAAATAACATTTTTTTTTTAAAAAATGTAAATGGTGGCCAATCCATTATAACAGGGGTTGGGAAGTAGAGTGTTCACAATGGTAAAAAGTACATTTTTTAATAATTTAATTCATTTGTTTACTAATTGCCTTGCAGGTGAAAGTTCTGGTATACAAGTACAGGTGTATTATGCTGACAAATAGGCTTGAAAGGCAGAGACCTGTCCTATATGTGTTATGTGAAAAATGGGGGCATTCACATTTTAATGTACTTCTGAGAAAATCTGGGAATAGTCAAAATAATCAAAAGCACATAACAAAGCTTTTGCTGTATGTGAAACAATCCATGTCTGGCTGTCTGTTAGTAGATATCTGTCTCATATGGAAAGAAGCACGTATGTGAAGTGACCATTGGGTTGTTCCTTTTGAGTGTTTTTTTTAAAAAAATATTAATGTGTATATTTTGCAATGCTTTAAATTTGTTCTGAATATTATATATCCCAACCTGAACAGTTAAGTACTGTATCTGATTTCTTTTTTGCTCCTGATTTTCTAGCCTCCACACTTAGCAGAGGAAACTGATCACATACATGCACAGTATCAAAGATAATCGTACAGTAAGAGGGACATGAATTAATTATCTTAACAGATATAAGGCACGCATATCCAATATAAGCTGTGACTACTTTTGATTTCTGTATAAACACACAGCTGAACAAAACGCAGCTCCAAAATGTTGTTTATTCATTGACGCAAACAGAACCCAAACTTGTGAAAGTAAAACTAAGCTTGTGGAAGGGAGAAACAACTTAGCTTCATATCTGTGCATGAAAATCTAATGCTCCTATTAAATCATTCTGCCATTTTGCACCACAGTAGTCAAATGGAAAATAATGGTATAAGTTGAGAGGTGCAGTCTGTATTTCATCAGAAGCCAATTTGCTGACCTCATAATTTTGACAGAATGTACAAAGAAAGTTATACACACATATATCATGAGATCCCTGTGGCATCTGAAGCTCACCACTAAAATGAAAACTACTTCTTGTTGTATTTGATTTCATATAATAGCTCTCCCATCTGGAAAGTGTCCTATTCAGAGTTACTAATGTTGGTGGTGCCTCTCTGGTGTTGGGACTTGTCTGGTGACTGACGGCTGCATCTCTGCCCTAATCTTAACCCTCTCTTCTGTCACTGCTGTGCAGGGTGCAGGTGTGATGTCTGTCTACCTCTTCACCAAACGCTACGCCGAGGAGGAAATGTATCGCCCGCACCCGGCCTTCTACCGCCCGCGCCTGAGCGACTGTTCTGACTACTCAGGCCAGTTCTTGCACCCTGAAGTGTGGCACCGTGGACGCAGCCCCTCTGACATCTCCAGTGATGTTTCCATCCAGATGACTCAGAACTACCCACCAGCCATCAAGTATCCCGAACATATGCACATATCAACATCGCCTTGCTAGATGTCCATAGAACGTGGTGGACCAGGAGCCTGGCCTTTGCTTGCAGACTACATTGTCCAACACCCCTCCCTGCTCCCTATGAGGCTGCCCTGCTGATGGGGACCTCTTTCCTTCTTTGAAGACCTTCTACCACCTGCTCTGCTATAAATGCCATCTCTTTCTCTCTTTCCCTTTCTCCCTCTTTCTCCTTCTCCAGCTAGTGGGAACCTTCCAAGCAACCTTTGGGATTGCTGATGCTCCTGTTTGGAAACTGTTCTCATTTTTGGCCTCTTCCAGGAAGCTCCATCATCCAACTGAAAATTCCTTCTCAGTCTTTCCTACTATCCTCCACAGACCAGTGGAAGAAGCAGCACCAAGGGATGTGTTTTCTAGTTCTGCGATGCTGTCCCAAATTATTTCTCCTTTCACTCAGATAGTTGGAATCACTAGCAAGAAACAGCTCACCAAGCATGCTTCTCTCAACTTTCCCCCCAAAGATTTGACAGAAATGGGGTTGCAAAACCATCTTTGCTTTTCAGACCTTGAGAGGAAGAATGACCAACGGCTGTTTTTTTTAATTAGTTCCTGATAGGAGAGGTTCAGTGCCTCCATCTTATCAAACAGCCTTCATGAGACACAATTGGTTTACTGTTGCTGGTGTTGTTTCTAGTTTTCTGATGGCAAATGACATCTCCTTATTTTATTTTCCTCCATGCCTAAAATGCCCTATTTCTCCAGCTTTATCCGCCTGAAAACAATAATCTTTCCATGCCTTTGTAGAAATTAACAGGTAATACATATTAGAACACCATCTTGGTTTGACTAAAAATGGCCTGGTCAAATGAAGTATCTTGCTCTCTATTTTTCTTCCCATTATTCTGGAATGCAACATAGCTCCAAGAGTGTTGCTAGGTTGATCTAACTCTGAAAAAATAGTTTACCTAATTTTTTTCCTCGTCACTTTTTCAACCACAGATGAACTCTAACTGGAAGCTATCCCCTTGTAATGTTTCTGTATCCTAAATCCAGTTCTCACTGCTTCATTCTTATCTTCTAGACCCTGACAACCAATGACTTGGCCACTATTTTATACATTCACAACTGACCCATTTTGGCAAGTTTTTGATATTGCTTCAGACACTGTTTTTGAAACCTTTGAAATAGTGCACCATCATGGCAGGCTAAAATATGGGTCCCTTCCTATCAGGGATATTTTTCCTGCAGTCTCTGTTCTGTCGTCGAAGAAAATGGCCTAGCACCTAAAACTGCTCCAAAGCTTCTCATACCATTTGCCTTCTTGCTGACTCAACTTCCTGGCTCTTTCTCCATTTTTATTTTCGTCAGTATTTTGAAGAGCAACTCTACAGATTGTTCTTCGAGAGACATTTTTGAAGAGACATGTTTATTTGGGCCCCCACAAATAAGAACAACTAACACATAATTACAGAGGGGTGAGGAAATAACAGTGTCTTCCAGCCATCAATGCCTCAAAAGCCACCATTTGGTTCTCCATCCACGGGCACCGTGGCCGTAGTAGGGCACCAGTGGAAGCTCCTAACAACGTAAGATTCTCTTCAGGCATGGTTCCTTCCATCTTGATGCCACGTATGGCCAGCAAGGTGAAAACTACATTTAAAAAAAAAAAATCAGAGAGAAAGAAAAACATACACTCATAAAGTAGTATCCAATTTCCCCCTCCTTTTTATTTCAGACATTTCTTGATTTTTCCATATGTTGTGGTTTCAATTTATCAAAGGCTCCACTCCTTCTGCTTTACTGCCTTCTCCGTTTTACTTTCTTCTTAAAATTATTTATATTTTTCGTGTGTCTGCTCCTTTGCTCTTAAGTTTTAATTAACCTCATTTTCATCTTCCTGTGGTTCCTTAGTTATTTTATGGCTGGGGCACACATCTATAAGCACGCAGCATGCTCAGTTTTTCATGTTTTTCCTTTCCCTGATCTAATTTAATTGTTTATAATATTCCTTTGTTTTAATATATGTCCATCGTCCTTTTAAAAAAAAGACCTTTCCTAGTCCTTCCCTTCTCTCTGTTACTCAGCTATTCCTCTCCAGCTCCAACTCCTGTGTATGGACTGTTTAGCCAAGAGGAAACAGGGTTTTGAAAGGTGCAATGAAATTTGGTGGAAAATGTGAACGGAAGCAAACGTGCCAATAGAACTGTTTGAGAAAAATAGGAAGGGAAACAAAAATAGGGTGGTGTGGGGAATTTTGTTAGGTCTAAAGGGGCTATTCTCATGGACATGTAAAGCAATTTTGGTGCCCCGTGTGGAAATGAATGCTTTCATTTATCCCCCCATGCACACATCTTGTTTAAGCCAGAATAGAGGACTCCATTTTTCCTCCATGCTCTTTTCCAAACACCAGCCTGTTTTTCTGCCCTGTAGTAGCAAGTAGAGGGGAAAAACCTTTGCTCCATTTCCTTTATAAGGAATGAGAAAGGAACATGGCATTGTTGGGTTAAGCTGGCTCCTCCATACCCACTTTGTAAGAGATGAGACGTTTTCATGGGAACAGAGGTCATTCCAAAACACAAAAGTTTCCCTGTATTTGCAACGCAGCCTCCTTTGGAGAAGCAAGACCATCCTGCTCTTTTTTAACGGGTTGAAGCTATGGTGGCCAACTTCATTAGAAGCCCCCTGAGCAAAGGAACGGGCCATTGTGCGCAGATACCGTAGAAATAGGAAGAGCAGGCAGCAAGGATTTGTGAAGGATAAGGAACGGAGACCTCCGAGTGCTTCCATGCTGTGGCTATGAAAAGGAGGGGAAGAAAAGATGCTGCTGACTCAGATTTGGCACACAAAAAGCCTTCTGAATCTCTTTTTCCGCATGTCTTCTCCTGCTGCTGTGTCAGCATCAACTGCAGCTCAGTTCACCTTCAGGCATTGCGTTGGAGATCACACTCCAGCACAAGATCCATCTCACGCACGTGCTTTTCCTTGTCCTCGCTCAAGGGCGGCTCTGCAGGAGTATTATTCGCCATTTCCTCCTCCATCCCGGCATCGGTACCTTATTTAAAGTAAAGAAGGATAAACTTGGCTTGGTGCAAGAGGGTGTACCTGGTTTTAAAAAGTCTTCCTCTTCCCCACTTTTTTTTAAAAAAAGAACGGTCTCCTCCCATATTTCCCACAACAATCCTGTGGAGTAGGCTGGGCAGAGAGACAGTGATTGACCTAAAATCAACCACTGAATTTTCATGGCTGTATATAGTGACACAAGGATAAGAAAATACATTCTAATCTTGGGGGGGAAATGGGACTGTGGTATGAATTATGGAAACATCTGCCCTCTAGGAGGAGCTGCGGATGAATGGAATGCTACAAATTACTCTTTGCCCTGAATTAAGTTTCTAGTCCTTTTGATCTCATAACTCTAAGAAAATATTACTGTGACAGATGCATAGTAATATTAACTTCTGCTTACTATTTAAAGGCTGCTTTTTTCAGAAGAAGGACAGTGGCATAGATAAGAGGAGCGAGCTACCGTAAACTCTGCATGGCAAAGTCTGAAGGCCTACCTTTGTTCTTTAGTGCATTCTCCAGATTTTATGTGGCTTTGGTCAGGATCATTTCTCCTAAGTAAACCCACTCTGTTCCTATTTGTCTTCGCCATTCCCTATAGGGCAATCCGTACAACCCCCATGAGCGCAAAATGTTCTTTTACAACTAAGATGAAATAGTCTGTAATGCTCTGAAGGTCCACAAGAGACCCTCAGGTGGGATCTAGGCCTAACCAAGCCACCTTGTTCTGGGAAGAAGATGATTATATATATGCAGGGGTTGAACAAGATGAGTACAATCTCTTGATTGGGAAAAGGGAATAAAGAGAAGAAAAACAAGATGTCAAATTTCCCAAACTTTTCTCCATCTTCTGGGAAACTTTCTTCATCCAGGGCCAACGGTTTTCCTTTCGGAATACAACATCTGGCCTTGGTGAAACTCTGATTTGGCAACTAGGAACGTCTTGATCCTGTGCAAAAATTAATAGAAAACATGGGGAGGCTGTAGATTTAAGAACTTTCCAGCGGATTTATTAACAAGTGATCAAATACTGAGTAACACTGCTATGGGATTAAAGTGGTTTTACCAATCAATCCTATGCATATTTACTCAGAAGTTACTGCCTCACTAGGGCCGAAAAGAATTTCTTGTTCTCAGTAGGGCTTAAGTGAATTTAGCCGCAGATATCTACACACTCAGCCAGTAAACCTGATGAGATCTTTTTACAGCATAGTCAATCAAATTGACATACATTTTCAGAAAACAAACTCTTCTAAATAAATAAGCATATAGTGTATTCTTTATTTTATATGTTTTTAATGGATGTCCATGAAAACGTGTTCATTGATGTAAACATATTTATTCAGGACTGCAGCACAATTTATAAGGCAGCAGGCTAGACTATTTGAGGAAAAAAGCTTATTCCTTGTAACTCCTTAAAAATGATTTATTAAAGACTCTGTTCAGAATATTCAAGTAAAAAAAAAAAAAAGGCAATGTTTATACTGCCAGACCAATTCCAAAGGGTATAAAACAGCCATAAAATCATTGAATGACAGGCGTGAGCTTTGAATGCAGGATTATGTTCTCATTAGGAAAAAAATGTGCCATATTCTGATTGTTTACACAGAAGTAAATCCCACTAAACTGGGTAGCTGTGTAGCAATCAGGCGTGTAAAATCTTGCAGCTTTGTATACACTTGCTGAGCTCATCGAAGATTAAGGTATACAAGCTGTGAATGAGAAGTCACACCAGCAAAAGTGCAAAGATGGTGAGAAAAATAAACGAGTGCCCACCCTTTTCTTCCCACATTTCTCTAACTGCTGGCTTGGGGGAAGGTGACCCTTTTGCATCCTATGGCTGCTGCACAAGAGGCAAGATCCCAGCTTATTCCTGGCTCAGAGATGCAGCAACAAAAACCAAATATCAGCAGTGCAATCTTGGCTGTCATGAATCTCTTCAAGAGATGGGTGTAGGCCCATTCAGTTTGGGCAGTGTTTATCTTCTCGGGCTTCTGTTGCATTCCACCCCCCAAACCATCCAAAAAATCAGAAGCAATCTGGTACCGCCTTTTTTGATTAATGCATTGTATTCAAAGGCATAAGTTGTTATAAGCTTCTGATCATTTTGCTACCATAGACGAAGCACAGCTCTCCTCCTACAATGTCTACACAAAATTCAGGGATTGCTGAGACAGCTAAAAAGAGGAATGCTTTGGAACAGAAAGCTTTTATCAGCTCTAGTTATCAGGCATGGAAGAGGGAGGGAGGTGGGAAATCACGGAAGAAATGGTAGGACCAGAGGCAGGGGGGTGACAAAGGAGAAATGGTGCCATAGAGCATGGTGATTGTGCAATATAAGTCTTGTCTGCAAGTCCTTTGTATTGTTCACTCTGACTCAGGAATTTGGAATAATTCGGATAACTGAATAATTTGGATTATTCAGGATACAGATGGCATGACTTCATACATGCACCCCTTGTGTTTGGATAATTTGCTGATTGACCTCTGAATGTGGGGTGGA